TTTCCCTGGATTGGGTGATTCATTTTTTTTTGAAACAGGATCTCACTTTATTGTTCAGGTTGACCTGCTGACCTTAAATTTGGTATGTAGCCTAGACTGGTCTTGAATTCATAGCAATCCTTTTGCCTCAGTCTCTCAGGTGCTGGGATTAGCAGCCACCACTCCCAGCTGACTTTTCTTATTACCCATGACAAATTCAGACTGATTCTAAATGTTCCAAATTTTTTCATGAAAATTACTAATTTCTCTTCTGTGGTCAGATCAAAATAGTTGATAACCAAATCTGAATTAAGTTTTTCTCCTTCCTCCTGAACTTCAATCACCCTCGTTCTGAAACAAAATATGCTTTTATGATCCTTCCTAAGAAGAGGCTGATGCCCAAGTCATCCCACACCTACCTGGTGTTTTATCCTTCTCTCTATCAAAGTAAACTCATTTCTCTGCCTAACCACTGAGGTACTTTCATATATTATACAGGCTGTCTCCCCTTTTCAGTAGAGTAATTCTTCACAATAAACCAGTATGTGTCTTTATAAAATAAACAGAAATACCCTGAAGAAACTAGGTATTGAAGGATTTTGCCTTAACATAAAAGTTATATTCAAAACATCCATAGCCAACACCATACTGAATAGAGAAAAACTAAAAATATTTCCTCTAAGGTAGGGAATGAAACAAGGAGTTTGCTATCACCACTGTTATGTATCATAGTACAGAAAGTATAGCCACAGCAATTAGGAATGAGAAATAAAAGTATAAATAGTAATCAAAGAAATTTCCAAACAACAGTCTTGCACATAGTAAACCCTAACAGCTCTACTGGAAATATTCAAATTTGAGAAATTCAGCAAAACAGCAGTGTACCATCACCATACAAAAACAGCATTTTTGGGCTTCCTGCTGTGCTCGGCCAGCTCCAGGGATCTTGGGGCCGCCTGCACCTTCGGTTCTGGAGGCTAGGCGGCTGGAGGTGAGTGTCCGCGCACTATCCTGAACCCCAGGAGTTTGGGATCATCACCCTCTCCTATCAGGGAACTTCCCGGATTCCTGCCGCACTCGGCCAGTACTGTGGGTCTTGGGCCTGCCTACACCATCTTCCCAGCTTCCTGACATGCTCAGCAGGATCCAGGGATCCTGGGCCTGCCTGTGCCCTCAATTCTGGAAATTGGGTGGCCAGAGGTGGGTGTCCCCACACCATCCAGAGCCCCGGGAATTAAAGATCATTGCTCCCACCAGCAAAAGAACTTCACAGATTCCTGCCACACTCGACTGGCTCCACAGGTCTTGGGCCTGCCTACCCGACCCCCAGTGACTCTCTCTCAATCCAGGGAATTGGGTGGCCAGAATCCCAGGAGCTGAGGGAATAGAAGAGGATTTCCAACAGGCCCAGGGGAGGCCTTAGAATAACAATTGAAACATGAAAATATAGGAAAATAACAAAACAAAAGACCAAAATACAATCTCAAACCTCCAGCCCATCCCAAGAAGCTTTAGGAGCTATGTACATATAAGAAAATATATGCCGTATACCTGAAATACCTGAACTAATAGCAATGGAAATAAGGAAGCAACTCCGGGAAGCTTTAAAGGAATTCAAACTAGAAATAACCTGCCAGGTAAAAGAAGAAATGATAAAAGTAATGAAAGAGATGCTGAACAACTCTAAAGAAGGCACAGTTAAAAAATTAGAGGAACAAAACAAAAAGATAGAATCCCTGGATGAACAATATAAGAAACGAAAAAACACATAAAGCAGATGCAAAGAGATACACAGAAAATCAAAAATTCCATTAAAAGTTGTAAAAATCATGTCAATGAAAGTGAAGATAGAATTTCAGACGTCGAAGACAAGATTGCAGCCAGTGAACAGGAAAGGAAAGGTCTTTTAAAAATAACAAGAAATCAGGAATTAACAATTTAACACCTGCAAGATGATTCAAAGAAAAGCAACATAAGATTGATAGGGATGAATGAAAAAGAAGGGGACAACATAAAGGGTGTCAAGAGGATATTTAGAGAAGTAGTAGCTGAAAATTTCCCAAACATGAGAACAGAAACCGACATCAGGATCATTGAAGCATATAAAACTCCAAATAGCCATAACCAAAATAGAACTACACCCAGACATATAATAATCACCATCCCAGAAATCCAACATAAAAATAGAATATTAAAAATTGTTAGAGACAGATCACCGATAAAGGAAAGCCTATAAGAATCACAGCAGACTTCTCAGCACAATCAATAAAGGCAAGAAGAGCACGGAGTGAAGTATTTAAGAACCTAAAGGAAAATTATTTCCAACCTAGGCTGATGTACCCTAAAAAATTGTCCCTCAAAAATCAATGGAGAAATAAGATACTTCCAAGACAAAGAAAAGCTGAAGAACTTCATGATCACCAAGCCAACCATGCAAAGAATACTGAAAGACAATTTAGATACACATGAGAAAAAACCACTAAACAAAGCACACAATTAAACACAATGGAAAGATGAAGATGCAGCAGCAGAAAGATAACATGTCAACAATAAACCAATATATAACAGTTATAACCATTAATGTAAATGGTCTCAATTCACCAATTGAAAGAAACAGACTGGCAGAATGGATCAAGAAACAACATCCAACTATACGCTATCTACAGAAACCCATCTAATCCAAAAGGATACTCACAGACGGAAATTCAAAGGATGGAAAACAATACTTCACGCAACAGGAACCCCCCGAAAAAAGCAGGGGTAGCAATTCTCTTTGCAGACAATGTGAATTTCAAGCAAAGAATGAACACAAAAGATAAAGAAGTTCATTATATACTGGTTAGGGGAAAACTTCAAGAAAAAGAGATACAATCTTAAATATATATGCACCAAATTCCAAAGCACACAGTTATATAAAGCAAGTACTAATAGAAATGAAAAATCAAATTAGCAATAACACAATTATAACAGGAGACCTTAACACACCATTGAAACCAAGGGACAGATCAACCAGAAAAAAAAAATCAGCAAAAAAATAACAGAACTGAATCACACCTGTGAATAAATGGACTTGATAGACAAATACAGAGTATTCCAACCAACAACATCAGAATACACATTCTTGTCAGCGGTACATGGGACATTCTCTAAAACAGACCATATACTAGCCCACAGAACATACTTAAATAAGTACAAATGAGTTGAAATTATCCCATGCATGTTATCGGATCATAGCGCCATGAAACTAGAAATTAATGATAGAAGAAACTGCAAAAACCCCACAAACACATAGAAATTGAATAACACACTCTTGAGCAATCAGTGGATCAAATGGAAATTAAAGAAGAAATTAAACAATATCTACAAGCAAACAAAAATACAGCTACAACTTAGCAGAATCTGTGGGATGCTAAGAAAGCTGTCCTCAGAGGAAAATTTATTGCGGAGTTCCCACAGCAGGAAAACAGAATAAATACAAATAAATAACCTAATGCTACACCTCAAATATCTAGGAAAAGAAGAGCAAATCAAGCCCAAAGCCAAAAGAAGGGAGGAAATTATAAAAATCAGAGCAGAAATTAATGCAAGAGAGACTAAGAAAACAATCCAAACAATCAACAAATCAAAGAGTTGGTTCTTTGAAACAATAAATCAAATTGATAAGCCCCTAGTCAATCTTATTTTTAAAAAGGGAAGAAAAAGCTCAAATTCATGCAACAAGGAATGAAACAGGTGAAATCACTACAGACTCTATACAAATACAGATCAACACCTATTTCAAAAACCTATACTCTCTAAGGTTTGATAACAAAGAAGAAATAGACTGATTCATAGAAACATATGAAGTACCAAAGTAGATGTAAAACTGCTGAATAACCCAATTTCTATTAATGAAATTAAAAATGTAATTAAGTCCTTACCTACAAAGAACACAGACGATTTACTGTGGAATTCTACAAGAAATACAAAAAGGCTTAATGCTGACACTCCTCAAACTCTTTAATGAAGCTGAAAGGGAAGCAACCCTTCCTAAGTCATTCCTTGAGGCAAATATTACTCTAGTACCAAAACCTGAGAAAGACCCAACTAAAAAAGAGAACTACAGACCAATCTCCCTAATGAACACAAATGCAAAAATCCTCAATAAAATATTGGCAAATAGGATGCAGCAAATCATCAAGAAGATTATACACCATGACCAAGTGGGAATCATCTCAGGCAGGCAGGGATGGTTTAACATACATAAATCAATAAATGTAATCCACCATATCAATAAAGCCAAAAGTAAGAATCACATGATCATTTCTATAGATGCAGAAAAAGCTTTTGATAAGGTCCAACACTCACTCATGATAAGAACCTTACAGAAAATTGGAATAGATGGTCTTTACCTCAATATAACAAAGGCCATCTATGACAAACCAACAGCCAGTAGCATACTAAATGGCCAAAAACTGAAGGCTTTCACCTTAAAATCAGGCACAAGACAAGGATGTCCCTTATCACTACTCCTGTTTAATATACTACTAGAAATGCTACCCTGATCAATTAGATAAGAGAGAGAAATAAAAGGGGTAAAGATAGGAAAAGAGGAAGTTAAATTATCATTATTTGCAGATGACATGATACTCTACATGGAAGACCCCCATAACTCCATTGAAAGACTCTTAGATATAATAAATAAATTCAGCACTGTAGCTGGACACAAAATCAATACTCAAAATTCAATAGCATTCCTATACATTAACAACAAAATCACTGACAGAGAAATAAGAGAAGCCACACCCTTCATACTAGCAACCAAAAAAATGAAATATTTATGAATTATTCTCATGAAACAAGTAAAAGATATATATAGGGAAAATTATAATAGACTGAAAAAAGATATTGAAGATGATCTCATAAAATGGAAAGACATCCCTTGCTCATGGATAAGAAGAATAAATATTGTGAAAATGGCCATTCTCCCAAACCTGTTACACAAATTCAATGCAATCCCAATAAAAATACCATCAACATACCTCATAGATCTCAAGAAATCACTCCTGAAATTCATCTGGAACCAGAAGAGACCTAGAATAGCAAAGACAGTTCTAAGCAGCAAAGGCAAGGCAAGAGGCATCACAATCCCTGACTACAAAGCAACTGCAGTAAAATCAAAATGGTACTGGAATAAAAACAGATCTGAAGATCAATGGAATACATTAGAAGATACAACCACAACTACAAACACACTCAACTACCTTATCTTTGATAAAGGGGCCAAACATGTTCACTGATAAAACGACAGTCTCTTTAATAAATGATGCTGGAAAAACTGGCTATCCATATGTCAAAAACTAAAACTATACCCATGCCTTTCACCATGCACTAAACTAAAATCTACATAGATCAAAGATCTGAATATCAAAACACAAACACTAATTCTGTTGGAAGACAAAGTAGGTAAAAATCTTGAAGACATAGGGGTAGGTAGAGAATTCATGAACAGGAATCAAACTGCATGGGAAACACTTCCCTGAATCAAGAACTGGGATCATGTCTTATTAAAAAGTTTCTGCACATCAAAAGAAATCTCCAGCATAGTGAAAAGAAAACTCACAAACTGGGAAAAATCTTAGTGAACTGTCCCTCAGACAAAGGACTGCTATCTAAAACATATAAAGAATTAAAAAAAATCAGACCCCCAAAATTCAAAGATCCAATGAAAAATGGGCATCTGAGATGAATATACAATTCTCAGATGAAGAAATACAAACGGTAAATAAATACATTAAAAAATGTTCATCATCACTTCTCATTACAGAAATGCAAATTAAAACCACAGAGATTTCATCTCACTCCTGAAAGAATGGCCAAGATCAAGAAAACCACCAACAAATGCTGGAGAGGCTGTGGGGAAAAAGGAACTCTCCTGCACTGTTGGTAGGAATGTAGACTGGTGCAACCTCTGTGGAGGTCAGTTCAGAGATTCCTTAAAAAGCTGGGATTGGAAGTCCCATTCGACCTAGCTATTCCACTTCTGGGTATATTCTCAGAAGAACTGAAAACATCATACTACACTGATATATGTGCATCCATGTTTACAGCAGCACAATTTGTAATAGTCAGATCTTGGAAACAACCTAAGTGTCCATCAACTGAGGAATGGATAAAAAAGCTGTATTTTTATACAATGGAGTACTACTCAGCTATAAAGAATGATCACATTGAGGTATTTATAAATGGGCACAACTTGAGAGCATACCCAAGCGAAATAAAGCAAACTCACATGTACAAATACCGAATAGTTTCCCTAGTATAAGAAATGGTAAGAATACATAAAAGTATGTGGTAATCATGATTCCCCATTATATTGCTTTAAAGCCTTATAATGTTTTCATTCATTAGTTAGAGTGGTTTTATTCTGTATTGTTTGATTTTATTGTCTGTGATGGTATGAACAGCTATTTTGAAGAAAATAAGACATTATGATAGCTGGTGCTGATTTAACATCATCTTGTTTTGAAGTCCCACCAAGCTTTTGTTCTTCTGTCTCCATCAGTTTTATCTTGTTGTATCTTATTGGATTTTATTAGATGTGATAGTATAAACAAAATTTTTTACAGACAAAGAGATAATATAGTAACCATTGTTCATTTTCTGTTAGTTGGTTCTGCACACCCTGTAATACTTTCATTCTCTTTGAATGGTTTTATACTGTCTTGCTATTTTTGATATTATAGTGTATGAAGGCATACTCAAATATTTCAAGGAAAGAGACAATATGGTAACTACTGTTATGTCAGGTTGTCTTGTGGTAAAACACTATGTTGCTTAAATTGCTCTATTCTGACCTGTTTTATCTTTTATTTTAATCTTTTTTTTTAATTTAAAAAAACAGCATTTTTTATACAAAAAGTTAATTAAAAAATCAGGAGAACAACACTGTTAAGTTTTCCTTGGTGAAGTAGAGAAGCAAGAGCAGAAAGAAAAAACAATGGAAAAAATGCTTATTGCAGGCACAGCAGAGGTGCAGAAGAGGGCAAGATCCCTCTGAGGCAGGCAACGAAGCAGCCGGGTTTCATTAGGTTTGACAGGGGATGGAGTTTGAAGGGGTGGGCAGAATGATGTGTTGGCAGTTGACTGAGGGAGGGCTAATGCCTGCAAAAAATGGGAAGTTCAATTTCGGCTTGGAAGAAGAACATGGAAGTCCACATGGAGGGACACACTGTCGCTCCAGGGTCCATGGCCATGTTGGGCAGGCACTACGCTGAGCCTTGCAGAGCTTCAAATGGGCAGAAGCCATCAAATATCTCTCAGAGTAACTTCAAAAAATAAAATAAATCTAACAAGGTGAAACATATCAACAATGTAAGTTTCAAAATGCTGAAGAAAGAAACTAAACATACCAAAAGTTGTAAAGAACTTCAGTGTTCATGAATTGGCAGAAATAATGTATTATATGTATTATAATATATAATAATATTCCAAAATCAATCTAAAGAATCAATGCAAGACCTATCAAAATACCAATGCATTTCTTCACAGAATTGAAAAAAAATGAATATTTAAATGGAAGCAAAGAAGAGCTTGAAAAGGCAAAGAAATTCTGAGCAAATAACAATGCTGGCAGTATCATATTTGATTTCACAATATACTATAGACCCATACAAAGAAAAAAAAAAGCATAGTATTCACATAAAAACAAACAAATAGAAAACTAAACAAGCCAGCCAATGGAATAGACTAGAGGACACAAAAGTAAACCTACAAAGCTACAGCCATCTGAGTGCCAACAGTGACAAAAATGTAATATTGGAGAAAAGACAAATTTTTTAACAAATGGTACTAATAAAACTATACATCCAACTTCAAGAGACTGAAACTAGACCTTTCTCTCACCCTTCACAAAAATCAACTAAAAATGAATCACATACTTAAGTGTAAATCTTCAAAATTTCCAAAATGCTAAAATAAAGCATAAGAGAAACACGTCAAGACACAGGCACAGACAAACACTTCCAGAATAGGAACCCCACAGCTGAGAAGATAATAGTAAGAATCAACAAATAGGATTGCACCAATTTAAAAAGTTTTCACACAGCAAAGGAAACAACAAAGTAACAGTAAAATCTTAGCTAGCTACACTTCAGAGGGCTAATATCTAGAATACGTAAAGAACTAAAAAAGATAAACATCAAAAAGCATTGCTGGGCATAGTAGTACAAGTCAGTAACCCTAGCACTTGCAAGGCTGAGACAGGAGGATTGTTGCAAGTTTGAGGCCAGGCTGGGGTACATAGTGTGTTCAGGAATAGTCTGAACTGTATAGTAAGATCCTGTCTCAAAAACAAACAAACAAACAAACAATCAAATAACCCAATCTATAAATATTTAAATGAACTGAATGAACACTTCTCAAAAAAAGTACACATGGCCAAAAATATGAGAAAATATTTAATATCTTTTGCCATTAGAAAAATGCACAACAAAATCATTTTGAAGTTTCCTCTCTCCCCAGTCAGAATTGTTACCATCAAGAAAACAAAACAAACAAAAAAAACTTTAATATTGGTAAAGATGTGAGGAAATCAGAATGTTTTTATATTGTTGGTGGCAATGCAAATTAGTACAACTACTATGGAAATATGAAAATTACTAAGAAAACTAAAAACAGAAGTACCATATGTTCCAGAAATGCCTTTCCTTGATATATACCCAAAAGAGTGTAAGTCAGCATTCTATACACATATATACATATTCATATTTGTCACAGAATAATTAATAATAGACAAGGTATGCAATAGCCTAGGCATATGGAAATGGGCAAATGGATAAAGAAAAACTGAAGTATATAGTTATAAATATGAGACTAAGATTGATATATAGATACAGATAACGATTCGTGTGTATATATACACGAATCGTTATCTGTATCTATAATGGATATAGTGATATTATAAAGAGAAATACTGAACCATAAAGAAAAATAAAGTGTCATTTGGGAGAAAGTTATTTTTGTTTTTGGTTTGGTTTTCGGATTTTGTTTTGTTTTGTTTTATTTTGAGACAGGATCTCACTAGGTAGTTCAGGCTGCCTTGAACCTTGAATTCATTATGTGGTCCAAGCTGACCCTGATTCATGGTAATAGCCTGCCTCAGCCTACTGAGTGCTAAAGTCACAGGTGTGTGGCACCATGCCCTGTGAGATATGTAAATTAAAACTACACTGAGATTACAACTTATCCAGAAAGAATGGTTAGCATCAACAATCTCAAATAGGGCTGAGGATTTAGCTCAGCAGCACAAGTGCCTGCCTGCAAGCATGAAGTCATGAGTTCGATCTCCTGGACCTAAAAAAAAAAAAAAAAAATCAAATAAATGCTGGGGGGGGGGCAGGAATCCTACATTGTTGGTGGGAATTAAACTAGTACAACCATTATGAAAATCAATATGGAGTTTCTTTAAAAAACTAAAACTAGAAATTCCATTCAATCCAAGTATTCCCTTTTTAGGTATCTTCCTAAAAGACATACTACAGTGACATAGCATACCCATGTTTATAGTAGCATAACTCATAACAGCTAAATCTTGCAAGTGGCTTACACATCCATCAACAGAAGAATGGATAAAAAGAATATGATACATATAGACAACAGAATTCCACTCTGCCCTAAGGAAAGATAAATTTGAGTCATTTGTAGGAAAATATATGTACCTTGAAACAATAGCATTAAGTGAAATAAATCCGACACACAAGTTTAAATATCATAATTCCTCTTATATTAATATATATAATATAAATACAAAATATGAACAAAGAGCACAATAAAAGACAGATAATAGGGATTAGGGAGATAAATTTTTTGGAAACAGGAAGGGAACCAGTGAATGGAGGGAGGGCTTAGAATCCTACAGTGCCTCACCACGGTTTAGTAACTACAGACAAGGAGTCTGTACCTCCCCCGCCTGAGGGAGAGGCCCATACTCTGGCCAGGTATCATTCTCTTGCCAAGGACCATACTCTTGTTTGGTTCTTTCTAAACAAAACAATAGTAGTATACTTAGAGAAAACCTGGGCCTCAACTAATAAGGTGCCAGCAAGTGAACAAAGAAATCAGTGACAGCGATGACAAACCTTTTCGAGCTTTCAATGATTACAAACAGCCCACGGCAGCATGTATGCCCTATGTTCACCACCAATGGTATAAAAGAACTCTCAAATACAGAATTTAAAACAATTGCTTTAAGTAAACACAATTAAAGGAAACAAAATGTTATAATACATTAAAACAAGATTTTCATAAAAAGATAGCAATTTAAAAAATCAGTTTTAGAGCAAAAAAACACTTAAATGGTATTTAGAATATTACTGAAGATGCCAATTTAAGAACAGATGAAATTTAAAAAGTATTTTAAAAGTATTAAAAAAGTTGCCTATCCTTAGCCAAACTCTGAAAGTTGTTTCAAACTTTCCAATAGCGTCCCAGTCATTAATAGCTTCTGGATAAAGCAATATTGCCAAAACCTTGCTTACTGTAGGCAGCAATAATGATTTTGGTCATTCAAAACAGAAACTTCCTATTTCTGCTCAGAAGGGTTAGTGAGAGGGTTCAGGTTACAGAGATCTTCTTTAAAGTGGAATTCCTACATTTGAAGCCCTCTTCCTCATGCTATGTAAGAATTATACTGTCTCAAAGAAAACAAGGCCATCAGCCAGGCATGATGGTGTACACCTATAATCCCAGCACTCAGGAGGGCTGAGACAGTAGGATTACAGAAACTTCAAGACCAGCCTGGGCTATATAATAAATTCAAAGCCAGCTGGAACTAAATAGCAAGAGCATGTCCCAAAAAAAGAAAGAAGCAAAAGAAAAGAATAGAATACCATCATCCAGTATCTCAATATCCTTGATAAAGATTCCTGTCCTTGGAGACTTAGATTTTATAAGTGGTAGGCAGGCTAGTTAGTGGAGAATGGGGTCAGAAATTCTACTTCTAGGAAATGAATCAAGAAATCCTATATTTGCAACTACCACATAGTAACTTAAATCAAGAAACATCACACAATTATTTCTCTGGGAATTCCACGGAATTTGGTACTATTATAGGTATGGTTATATGACACATGGATAAAATGAAGGTCATGCTAGTTTGTAACAAAACCTTTCAGGGACAGAGTTGAATGTGAACTCACACTGCACATCTCCCAGGATACAGCTTCTCTGCACAATCCTGGATCCCACCGCACCATCTGCAGAGCTTCTGGACCCAGCTCTTCACATCTGGAAGCACATTACCAGGAACAACTCATTAATTCATAGCACATCCACAGTTATGACTTCTCCACTGCCTGCTCAGTGAATCTTATGCTAATGTCACACTCTGGTGCCATATATCCACAGATTAAAGTAAAACCCCCTCAAAATTTTCTTCCCCCACTAGGTAGCGCCTGAAATCCCAGGGCACCTCTTTCACATTTTCAACCACATGCAGGAACAAAGAATACAACTTTGACTGTTGAGTTCCCAGGCAAGAACTACAGTGTCAGGAATTTGTAGATAGAAGGCTAATGGATATGTTAATTGTGTTGATTATGGGGTTGACTTCATAAATGTGTGATATAGCAAAAGAAAATGTGTATAGTATACTTAAATATATGCAGATTATTGTGTCAATTATACTTCAATAAATCCGTTTTTAAAAATAGCATGCATATAGGTTCAAAGGAAAGAACATCCTTAAATAGGTAATTTTTTAAAAAAAGAATTCAATACATAGTCATCAATCTCATAGCTACTTAGAAAACCCAAATTTTGTAATGGGAGAGTGAAGAGAACTTTCCATAAAAGAGCAAAATTTAATCATTTTGAAAATAAACATACTATATAGAGTACCAATAATGACAAATATTGTTTCTTTTAAAATACCAATGCAACTGAGTTGGACATGGTGGTGCATGCCTGCCATCCCAGCACTTTTAAGGCTGAGGCAGCATCACTGTGAATTCAAGGCCAATCTGGGCTACACAGTGAGTTCAAGGCCAGCCTAAACTACATAAAGACCCTATCTCAAAAAACCAAAAATAAAATAAAATACTAATGAAGCTGAAAGAATTCTGGTAAATTTAATTATGGAGAAGTATGTATTATTATGTAACTGTAACATATGTATGTGTATATATAATCATATCTCATTTAATGATGGGAATATGTTCTGGCAAAGGCATTGCCAGGCGACTCCTTCATTGTACAAACATGCCAAAGCGTACTTCCACAAACTCAGGAGGCAGAGTCCACTACACACCCAGGCTACATGTTCTAGCCACCAATGTATAAATCCATCACAAAACAAAATGCAACTCTGCAGCACATGACTGCATTTATAAACCGTATATACCTAAAGAGGAGGTGAATAAATACCTGCTGAACTAAGAAGACAACACTTATGCAGACCCTTTCCTTTTAGACACAGGTGACTGCTGGGGACTGTACTGTGGAATACAAATGGAACTCCCTTTTAAATGAAAGTTTCTGAGAAGACAGGCATCCATGTGGCAAGTAATGCTTCTGTATTCTTTCTTCATACCATATTATGAATAGTTTTCAGAGGTAAGAAATACACAAATATTAAAGGGAACTATAAGACATTCAGAAGCTGTTTTAGAAAAGTATTTCTTTTCAGACTCACAAATCAATATTAAATATAAAGTATTCATAAAGTAGACTACATAAAAATACAAATTCTATTCATCAAATGAAAAAAGAGTAAAAAGCCAGGTGTAGTAGTACATGATTATAATCCCAGCATTTGGGAGGTGAGACAGGAAGGCCCTCGTGCCTGGGCTACACAGTAAGTTCCAGGCTAGCAAGACTCTGTCTCAAAAGTAAGCAAATAAATAAATATTTTTTAAAAGTACAGAGACATGATACAGTTGGAAAAACTATCTGTTTTATATCTGACTAAACAATGTAAATAAGCAAGAAAGACCGGAAGCCCTGTTAAGAAAAGTAGGCAAGAGACTTCCAACAGTCACATTACATAGTTAATATTGGATGCTCAACAATTACCAAAAGTCTCAGTAGGTCTAAAAATTAGAAAAATGAAATGCAGTCACATCCAACAAACATAAAGAATATTCATAATGATATGGAACAATTGAACTCTCATGAACAGAGGATGAGAGCTGCTATTTTTAATCCACTTGGGGAAACAGTTTAACTGATGCACCCCCCCCCAAGAGGTGCAGATGTACAAAAATTAGTGCACAGGAGTATGGTGATAGCACAAAGGATATAGCAGTGCAAAGAAGTAAAATCTAGGGGATGTGCACAGGAGGACGCACATTCAGAAAGCAAGACATACTCAAATGTAATCTAGTCCTTTCCAGTCCAGTTTAACAAGTAAAATAAAACACTGTGAGTTTCATATGGAATGTCACATGTATGTATATTTAAAGATGAAGTACACAGAATTTATAAAAAATAAAAATTTACAAAAGCACATAGAAAAATCTGATTACACATACATCCGATGTAGATAATAAAACTCATAAGACATTTCCTCCCAGATTAATCAACACCATCCCATAAAAATTTCAAAGCGTTTAATTTGTAATGTAAGGGATGAAAACCTAAAATTTCTCAAATTCATGTGTAAGATTAAAATATATGAATACATATAATAAGCCAAGAAACTTCTGAACTGTAAGAGGTGGGAATGTACCTCAGCGTGCAGGCCCTGTGTCCAACCCCAATCCCCCCCTTAAATGTAGCTCTAAGTAGAATATGTGCCCAAAATGTGCAAGGTCTTTGGTTCTCTCATCACCAAAAATAAAGTAGAGAATATGGGTCTGGATCGAAGTTAAGGAATCTGTTGCCGGGGAAGGAGGACCTTAAATAGAAAGGAGCAGAGCTCAGAACGTGAGACCCTGCTTCCCACATATTTAGAAATCATAAAGGAAAATGACTAACCCTAGAAAGGTAGGAGCTGAGGAGCATAGGGTAGGGACTTAGGTAGGGACTGCAGCTGCTGTAACAGTAGACCACAGAGCTGCAGTACTCCCTAGGATCCTGCAGCCGTCACCAACCGCCGGGAGATGTGGGGCTGCAGATAAAGGACCAGCATCGCCACTGAGGGATGCGCGGCAGAACCTCGGGTTCTAGCTGCTGGCCTCGTCCCCACCCAGAAGGCAAAGAGGACTAAGTGCCGCGGGACGGTGGGGGAGGAGGGGACAGAAGCGGACACCCAGCGTGCGGGCCGCCGCCCACAGGGTCGGCAGGCAGCAGAGAAGTCCCCTCGGGGTCCACAGGACACTGGCCCGCCCTGCCCGAGGGTCCCTCACAGCCTCCCTCAGGTTCTCTCCCTGTCCCAAGGTACTACCGCACACTCGCCATCTCGGCTTCCAGGCTTTCCAGTGTTCTCTCTGCAGACCGACCCCTCACTTCTCAGGTCACAGGTCTATAGCTCCGGGAAGAGCTAAGCGAGCCTCCAGAGCAGAGACTGAGCGGAATGGACCACGGCAATATCGCGAGAAGAGAACGGGAGCTTGAAACCCCGCCCCCTTTACTCTGGCTGCTGCTGGACGAGGATTCAGTCCCCTCTTCTGCAGGCTCTGACAGGCACCATCCCACGGTTAAGGAAAGCCAGGAGAGAGGGGCCTTGGCAACGGCCCCCCACCCAGTTGGGAATGGAATCTAGTTCTGTGGTTAAAGATATTTTTTTAAGGAAGGATTTTCTCTATTTAGGAGGATCTGTCCAACCTGGGAAGAATTAAAAACTTGTATCTAACCTTTATGTAATGTCATATCAGAGCCAAGCATATGCCTGTGATCCCAACACTCTGGGATGCTGGAGAGTTCTAGCATTAGCACCTTGCGACTTAACAGAACTCAATCTGTCTCATAGTAAAACATGTAAAGAAGTGGGAATGGATCTCAGTGCAAAAGCCTTAGGCAGCGAAGAAGGCTTAATTCGTGGTACTGCCAGAAAAAAAAAAAAAAAAAAAAAAGAATCACAATAATGTAATGTATACATATGTGTGTATATATTACTCACAAATACAAAGAATATAATTATTTTTAACTTTCACTTATCTTTTCTAGTCTCTTCTGGAAGCTTGAGACTTAAAAGGAAAGCAGTGTAAAAATAGTTAATTTAGTTAGCTTATGAATAAGGCAGATAGTTAGGGAAAGGACCTGAGACAGAGTTAGGTAATCAGCCATATTGATGAGAACTGAAATGATACTACATAGTGTCTTAGAAGAATGAACTTCCTCCCTACTAAAAGGAGTTGCAATTTCTCCCTACTAAGCTCCTGAGTTTTGAGAAGCTTAAAATGAAAAATAACAATTTTTTTTAAACCCCAGCATCCTTTAAACACTACATGCTGAGTAACTGGGTTAGAGAGTCTGAGTTCCAATTGGCCATTTTAAATTCACAGAGCCTCTTGTCATAGGTGGCCACTAAAAACTAACTCCTGTGCTCCACTTATCATAAAAAGTTCTTGACCAATGGGGTCATATGGCAACTCCACTTTTCAGATTCCTCTCCTAGAGAAACCAGGTACCATTTTTTCTCCTCCTTATTTCCAATAAAAACTCTAATTTCCTCCTTCCAGTTTGTGACTTGATTCTTTCATTTTCATAAAACCATGAGCTCAGGTTGCACAAAAGTAACTGTTTGGCATTCTCCTAAGGCAGCAATGTCCAATGCAAATAAATTGTGAGGCAAAGGTGTAATTTTTAATTTGCTAGTATATTACAGGCAATTAAGACAGAAATTAATACACAACCAGAGAAGAAATGGGTTCTCAAGGAAGTCAGTGGAAAAAAATAATGTCAGAATTGTGACTGCAGACACATCTGAAGAAGGTCAGGCCTCAAGATAAAGATACAGTGTCCAGGTTTATGTGCCTCCCTAAGAGATAAACAGTAACTTCAGATTACATTGTAATTAGCACCACCTGACCCAGTAAGTACAGCTAGGTATCTGGTGAGTCACCAGAGCATCTGGACTCATCCCTTCCCAAAAATGTCTTTGTTTTTTCTTTTCTGATTGAGTGATTTGTACACAATCTAGAGCAGCACAGAATATTAAAAGAGAAGAGACAACTAGATAAGAAAAGAGTTTAATGAGGAGGGTATGGAGGGAGTCACCACAGAGAAGGCTGGGGTGGCTCTCTGCAGACAAAGGGCAGGTTCTGCCTGATATAGGCTCTGATGGGGGTAGGGCTCTCAGGACTGATGTGAGCTGATTTATTTTGTGAGAGTACAGGAGAATGGGTAAACCTTTACATGCCTGAGCTTTGGAAGACTTTTGTGAGGGAGAAGCCATAGGAGCTTCTGAGAAGAAAGAGGTATGCCTTATCAGGGCACAGTTTTGAACTATTGTCATGATGATTGTGCTGTCTCTCAGACAGGGGGATCTAACACTTTCCTGTGCCTTGCTATATGACTCATTTCCCTACAGGATTAGGGAAACAGCTATACTTGTAATTCTATAGGTAGATTGGGGTTTGATCCATTTTGTACATAAATTGTGACTTTGGTGCATAAATTACTCCTGAAAAAGGGCCTCAGAGACCACTTATTCAAGACCCCTCCTGAAAATCCAGGAACAATATTTCTCTCCTTATTTCCAATAAAACTCTCCTAACTTCTTCCTTTGGCTCACAAAATCATTCCTCAATGGTGTGGAACCATGAACTTGGTAAATCTGACATCTAACAGGTTGTGCCCCCCGCCAACACTCACACCATGAGTTAGCAGAGGCCACACCAGCCAGGGGAGAACAATGAAGAAAGTCATGACACATATATTCCCACCCTTCAACCACCACCCCCTCAGCCCTATGAGACAGCCAGCATGCAGGCAGGGAGAGAAGCAAAAACACCTCTCCTCTCCCTTCCACTCCCACTGTACACAACTAGCTATTTCAGAGGAATACAGACTGAGAAGATAACAACTGAAGTAAAGAAACAGCCTAATGCTTGTATTGTTTGACTTTGCAAGCCTAAAGCCAGTAGTCTGCACATCTAGAGGATACCAATGTGCAATATAGTAACTATGTTGGATTCCCTACTGTTTTATTTTTGAAATCCAATATTGGATTCTTACTGTTTAGTTTATTGTTATGTTCTCTTCCTTCTAGATAAATAAAACAAGTTGGGAATTATATTTCTCCTACAACATTTTGGAGGTTTCATCAAGATAATTGGAAGGAGGTAAGAGTTTTCGTTGTGGCCTTTAAATATTTTGACTGGATTCTTAGATTGTGATTTGTTTAGGCAATTAAAAATTGTCATCCATGTTTGCTTGTTGCTTATGGTTTTTTTGTTGGTTGCTTGCACTGTTATAAAGTTAAGAGTATGAAAGATTGTGATGTGGGTTTCTGTAATGGAATACTTTTGCAAACAGGGCTTTATATTATTTACTTGACTTGTTCGGTTGTTATGAGATGGGTTTATTACAAAAAAACTTTTAGAATGGTTTTAGGATGAAACGTTGCAGGAACATGTCTGAGGATTCAGCCAGATGATATGGGACAGGTTCACCGCTCTCAGTGATGTATGCCAGGAAACAGTAATGTACTTCTCTCTGAGATCCTGAAAATCTTTTTTCCCCCTTTCTAATAGAAGCCCCTAGAAAATGAGTGCTCATGTACAAGGGCACTGAAGACAAGCATTCCTTTATGAGCTGCATAACTAACCCCCATCCCTGGATTAGAAGAAAATCAGGATTCCTGCTCACACAGGAAGGCACATATGAGGGTTTTGACAGGAGTTTCTCATGTGATTGGCAAGACAGCTCCTCATTTGGAGACTAGTGGAAGGAACTGGCCTCTGGGTGACACCAAAAAGTGCTGCTTCCAAAAGCACACATATTTTTGAGCCCAAAGCAATGTAGTTTAAAAGAGGATCTTCAATCTGTCCTTTGATTTTTCTTCTCTCTCTCTCTTGCTCTTTCTCAGAAAAATAAAAGGCAGCTGATCAGGTTTGTTGATTATTTGAGTTAATTGTAGTTTTCTTTTTTGGAGACATGTTTTGCTAAGGACTAGAGACACACCTGGCAAAGGTCTTGATTATGAGAGATAGTGAGGATTTGATTCTTGCACCTTGCATAGGGTCACTCTTCTGTTCTGCCCCTCTCATGAGAAATAGCATATTATACAACAGTAGCTTTCTGTCCAAGAATTGTCTTGTCTGTGGCTGCTGAATTCCAAGACTAGGATTCCAGCATGGTGAATTTCCCTTTGCCTGTTGACAGTCATTTATCTCTGGACCATATTCTTTCTTGTTGTTTTGAAACAGGGTTTCACTATGTAGTTCAGGCTGACCTCAAACTCATGGTGGTCCTCCTGCCTCTCAGTGTTGGGATTATGGATTTGCACTGCCACATCTGACTTGAGCCATATTCTTAAACACTGGTCTATGTTTAATCTTTAAACTTTCAAAGAATAAATTTAAAAATTCCAGTCCAAATTCATCAGCCTTTCTGCCATTATTCAGGACCAGAAATTAACCCCTTTCATTTCCCACTCTCCTCAATAATGCTGCTCCACAGGGCAGATTGACTTGTTTTTATAGCACAGATGAGCTCGTTGACAACCAAAAAAAAGTACCTAGGGACATGTTTTAATTTTCTCATTATGTGACAAAATACTTGACACTCAAAGTTAAAATAGGAAAGGTTTATTTAGCTCACACTTTGTAAAGGTTTCAGTTCATAGATGACTGACTCCAGGGTAGGATAGCATGGCAGAGGAATTTTGCAAAGAAGAAATTGTTCATGGCAAGCAGAAGCCACAAAAGCAGCAAGCAACAAGAGATCAGCAACACACCTCTTTCTGTTCTTAATATTTTATCTAGGCTACCCATCTTTGGGGTAGGTAGCATTCATACCCTTACCCCTAACATTACATCCTTAATTGAAGCATCACATACTCACCTCTAAAAAGCCACACCTATAACTGCACAAGGGTTTGGGAGGACATCTAGATACAAGCATCACAGAACCTTATGAATCTGATAAGTTTTAAACAGAAACAGTTATTAAAGAATAGATAACAGCCTTTGTCCCCAAAGGAAACTACCTTCTTGGTATGATTTTTTTCTAGATCATCTTGCCAGGCTAGCAATTATTCTCAATGTATACACACTGAGAAGTTGAAAAAGGAAAAATTATACCTAAGTATGATCCAATAGTCACAGGATCACGAGGAAGGAGGCCCAGGTACGTGATAAGAGAAGATAAACTCTGGCCACATCACATCTCAAGTTTGCCGCCAGTGGCACTAGAAAGGGCTAAACTTTAAGATCACAGAACAAGAAGGATATAAAGAATGCTTTCTATCCCCTTATTTTTTTTTCAAAATGGGAAGAAACTGTCATAGGTAGATATATGCAGGAGAGTAGATTGGAGCGTGGCACGCTTTCTTTTCCCACCTTTTGGAATATATACTCAGCTTCAAATGTGTCACCTGACGTTATAACTTGTATCTAGATGTTTCTCCCCACCCCAAAGCCTATGTGATCATAGATGGGTTTTTTGATAGGTGGCTGGATCTATAGTGTGTGAAGCAATGATTCATGGTGCAATGCTAGGATTAAGGGTATGTGTTATTAAATCAGTCCCTGATTGGTTTGCCACCACCCTAATCCGGGTAGTCTAGGGAAGAAAGTTGCTTACAAAAAGGCCCTTTGTTGTTTTTCCTTTCTTCCACCACCATGAACAGTTGTCCCTCTGCCATGTGCCACCTGCTCAAGAGCCAACTGTTTATGGGCTGAAACCTCTACAAATCATGAGCTAGATAAACTTTTCTCCCTTTGAGTGTCAGGTATTTTGTTTCCACAATGAGAAAAAACTAAGTAGAACACCTAGTCACTTTCTATACCCAAATCTGGCCTGAGCTCTCCCCTGAAAATAGCATAGTTGACATTACCTTTAACAATCTGACCCATTAGCAGAAGCAATTACAAGTGCCTATCAATGATAAACAACTGCTTTGGCTATCAGGTGTGACTATAAAACACCCACGATTATCAGAACAACAGAGGGCCCTGAACAGCCTGTACAGCTGACTATTCCAGTATGATAAACTGTCAGCTTGGGTTTCTTCTTAAAAACAGTCTTTGCTTTCACAGGTGTAAAAGATTTTTTCCTTTCTTACTGTTATTATAAGAAATCTCTGTTAATTGATGATGTCTAAGAGAAATTTTGACAAAACTACTTACAGTTAATCTAAAAACTGTAGAAAGGTTTTTGTAGCTCAGCTTGGTCAATATATCTAGAATAGATTCTGACTTAGATGATCTTGTGTATGTTGTCCATCTGTCTGTTTTATGTGTTTTTATAACCAGTTAAAGCACTGCAGCTGTTTTGTTTAAGAAAAATATTTTTTGAGCTCAATAATTACTTTTTCTATGTTCTATTTTGTTCTTTTTGAGATTTCCATGGAAAAACTATCTGTAAAGGTTTTCAGAGTAGCTAAACTTATTTAAAATATTAAGAGATGAGGACTGAGAGTCTGAAGGCTTACATAGGACATACAAATAAAAACTTCAAGGTTTGATAGCATAGAAGTTACATATGAGTAGATTAATACATATAGTTTTTATGTGTTAACTTTCAGGTATATATTATACTCCAAAATTTCTACTTAAATTAGCTTATAGATAAACACTCAGAACATTATCTCAAATGTTTGGTTCACATACTTAACAGTAGACTAATATAAATCAGTTCATAAGAGTAAAGATGTCTTTAAAGTTGATAATGTATTTCCAACCAGGTCCTTAGGTAACCAAGTTAATATCAAAATACAGTTTTATAAATGCAATGTCTATTACTGTCTGTGTACCATAACAAGCATTTTTCTTGGTCAAAGATAATATATGTAGCTTTTTTAAAAAATGTTATGAAATATCTAAAGTAATCATTTTGGTTAAATTTAAAAGATCAAATTTTCTTTGTATGAAACAATATTTCTATGTGTGAAACAATATTTTTGGTTTTCTAAAACTATTGGAATGCTCTTGATCAGACTTATAAAACTAGACTTAGAAGCAAAGAGTCTGCTTTTACTAAAATAAATTTCTTGATTTTAATTAGGCTTTTATTTAAGAGTTAAACAGTATTTGAATGTCAACCTATAAAATGTTTTAAATAATCATTTCATGACTGGTTAAATGGATAATATGTATTTGAGCATAGATATGTATACATCTAAAAACACGCTATGCAGGAAGTATAAGCTTTAAAGAGCCAGGGCTATGAAAGTTTAATACATACAAAATAACTAATAAGTGCTCTCTTTTATACACCATATGTTTAGACCATAAGCATAGAAAGTGATCAAAATTTAACATCTCTTTAAATTTGGTCCCCGACTGTCTTCTCTCACCCAGAGGGCACACCACAGCTGCCCCGCCTGGAGTGGGGAGCTGGACCGAGCAGCAGGAACCTGCTCTGCCCTTGCTGATCGCCCTCTCTCATCCAGAAGGCACACCGCAGCTGTCCTGTCTGGAGGAGGGAGCTGGACTGAGCCACGGGAACCTGCTGCGGCCTTGCCTGAGACCTTCTTTCAGCCTGGAGAGCACCAGCAATAGCACTAGCCACCGCCTGGAGGAGGGAGCAGGCCTGCTGAGGAGGTTTAAGGCCTACCTAGGCCATAGGGGTGACCTTCTACCAGCCCGGGGAGCTTTGCCATCCAAGGAGGTGGCAACACTCAATCCCCGGGAGAGTATGAGATACTTGCTGTAGGGGGTTGGGGACCCGCTGGGCTTGTGGCCACACTAGATTGGACTTAGTGGGATTTGGGCCTGGCTGGACCACTCCAGGCAGCCTTCTTTCCATCATGGGAGCTTTGCTGCCAGAGCGGGGAGCTGTGCAGCTTGAGCAGGGAGCTATGCTACCAGAGGAGACCCAGGAGCACAGGACTTAAGAGACAATTTCCAATGTGCCCAAGGGAAAACTTTGGAACAACACTTGAAACACGGAAATATAGAAATAAGACAAAACGAAAGACCAAAATATAATCTCAAACCTCCAGCCCATCCAAAGAAAACCTAGGAGCCATGTACATAGAAGAAAATACATGCCATATGCCTGAAATACCTGATATAATAGTAACCAAAATAAAGAAGCAACTTCGTGAAGCCTTAAAGGAATTCAAACTAGAAATAATCTCACAGGTAAAAGAAGAAATGATAATAGAAATGAAGGAGTTGCAGAACATATCTAAAGAAGACACAGTTTAAAAATTAGAGGAACTAAACAAAAAGATAGAATCCCTGGATGAACAATATAAAAAACGAACAAAACACATAAAGCAGATGCAAAGAGATACACAGAAAATCAAAAATTCCATTGAAAGTTGTAAAAACCGCCTTAATGAAAGTGAAGATAAAATTTCAGGTGTCGAGGACAAGATTGCAGCCAGTGAACAAGAAAGAAAAGATCTTTTAAAAATAAAAAGAAGGGGCTGGGGATTTAGCTCAGCGGCATAAGCACCTGCCTTGCAAGCAGGCGGTCGTGAGTTCGATCCCCGGTACCGATAAAAATGAAAAAGACAAAAAAAATTTAAAAAATAAAAATAAAAAGAAATCAAGAATTAACAATTCAACAACTGCAAGATGATGCAAAGAAAAACAACATAAGGTTGATAGCGATAAATGAAAAAGAAGGTGACAACATAAAGGATGTCAAGAGAATATTTAGAGAAGTAATAGCTGAAAATTCCCCAAACATGAGATCGGAAACTGACATCAGGATCAGTGAAGCATATAAAACTCCAAATAGCCATAACCAAAATAGAACTACACCCAGACATATAATAATCACCATCCCAGAAATCCAACATAAAAATAGAATATTAAAAATTGTTAGAGAGAAGACACAGATCACCGATAAAGGAAAGCCTATAAGAATCACAGCAGACTTCTCAGCACAATCAATAAAGGCAAGAAGAGCACGGAGTGAAGTATTTCAGATCCTAAAGGAAAATTATTTCCAACCTAGGCTGATGTACCCTGAAAAACTGTCCCTCAAAATCGATGGAGAAATAAGATATTTCCATGACAAAGAACAGCTGGAGAACTTCATGATCACCAAGCCAACCCTGCAAAGAATACCGAAAGACAGTTTAGATACACATGAGAAAAAACCACTAAACAAAGCACACAATTAAACAGAATGGAAAGATAAAGATGCAACAGCAGAAAGATAACATGTCAATAATAAACCAGTATATAACAGTTATAACCATTAATGTAAATGGTCTCAATTCACCAATTGAAAGAAACAGACTGGCAGAATGGATCAAGAAACAAAATCCAACCATATCCTGTCTACAAGACATGAACGGAAATGAAGAGAACAAACTCATCATGAAAAGTGAGAGTGAGGGGACTTCCCTTCTACAGTAAATGATCAAGTAAAGAAAAACAGAGAACTTCTAAATTGATGCCAGAGAGGAAGTGAAAACAGACTCTGTAATTATGAAAGCTCTTCCAGCTGAACGGCCTCAATCCCTTAATAAAGGCTCAAAATATCACTGTAAGTAGTGTTTTCAAGATGTTAACTTTTATAATGAACTTCAGTCATCATCACAGGGCCAAATTATGTTCAGACAAGGAAGGGCAGGTTTAAAATATCTCTGTGTAAACAGTTATATTCTGTTCTGATTGTCACTCACATAGAGAGATAGTCATAAAACATTGCTGTTTTATTTAAAAGGTACATATGCTATATTCCCAGTTTGGAAAGAAAAAAAGTTTGCACAGATAGATAATGATCTAGAAGACATACACCTATCATCACAAATGTAAATGGGTTACTGGGGTATAGTTATTTTAGTTTTAGAAATTGTACATTCTAATTCTTAATACAATTAATATACTTTATTTTTTGGTCATGAAGGTACCAATATTTTCATTTTCATGCTGGCTGGCTGCTGCTTTTCAAGAGGCTGGATGCTGCTTTTCCCAACCTACACTGCTTACCAGTGAGAAGTGTCCCTGATGGTGGCTCTTCTTTCTATTTTAAAGCATGTATTGGAATATATAGAATCAGTTTGTGAAGGTTTCTGTCCATACTCTGCAAGCTCGAAGGAGGGTGGCATGACTGAAGGACATCTGCTCATGATAGCTGCGGTCAGACCAGGGCTGTTGTTACTTAACTTCAGAACATCTATTTTGGCAGAGACATTTTCTCTTTGTCAGATGCAGATGATGGTAGATATTTAAGTGTTGCCCGGTTTGTGATACATGAATGTCGCTGTGCTTGGAGAAGAGCTATACTGTATGTAGAGGTTTCTCTATACCCAGAGAGAACAGAATATTGTTCCTTCATTTCTGTTATTCTTACTTGAACATGCTATTAATTGGATTCCTAAAGCTACATTCTAGGCTTTTCCATCTCAGTTTATTTTCCTAATGAGAAAGATATGAAGGGAAACGTGTCATTTTGTGCGCTGTAAAACAGGTTGACCATATAACCTGTACACATGGGAGAAAGTTGCTGTTTTATAAGTAGGAAATTCTGCTTTTTAATGTTTAAAATCTCTATCTATCCATCCATATATTCAATTTATAATGGTATTTTATAACAAATCAACCATATTTCATAATCAATACTCTGTGAATTCTATGCATAGTAATACAAAATCATATAGTCCTGAGTAATAACACTGATAGGGAAACTATTTCTCTCAAGTGGCAGAGCTAACAAAATAGATTTGGAAGTTTTTCTGACCATAAATTCAGGAGAAAAGCAATAGACTGTTTGACAAATTAGATAAGAAAATGATTTTTGAGATCGGAGAAACTCACCTGGGTAATAAAATTTTATGTCACTGTTGGTAAATTTTGCTCTGTATTAAAAAACTTTTATTTGTTTCTCATTTACTTTAGATAATATAATAAAATAATCCTGTGTTGGACAAGCACACCTGCTATAGTGTGTTACTATTATACAGAGCAAAAATGTTTCTCTTCCTACATTTCTTTTATCTTCACATTTCAGGCATTGAAAATGTTATGGTTTCTGTGTAGGATTGGGGATAGATAAGTTATTGGTAAGATCAAAACTGACATTCTGTTTTCCTATGGGTTGCAACCCAAATGTTATCACTGCATTTTTAAATTTTGAATCAGCTATATTGAATAAGTTGAACTGGCTTCAATGAAAAAGAAAATATTTTACCATACATGTCTCTGCATTTACATAAACAAAATGCAAAACAGATAATGAAAATTTGGCATTTCAATTTCAGTAATGTTTCTTATTTTATTCCAAGTCACATGAAAATTGCTCAGCTTTTGAATATACTGAAAACTCTGATTCCCAAATAATGTTGTGATAATCATTCAATCAATTTTCTCAACTTAATCCATTACATTTGCTACTTAAGAATAAATTGATTTTCACTGTGTTGAAATACCTAGCTTTATCATTTATAGTATGTTTTTGTTATTGCAGTTGTATAGATATGCATATCTATTTAGAAAGATACGACAAATACTTAAATATGGACTGAAATAAAATGAATATTTTCTACATACTCTTCATTAAAAGCCTGTTTACTGAAAAGGCATATTTCTTTATACAGCACACACACATACACACATGCAAGCACATGCATGCACATACATACACCCATCAGCATACACATGGACACACTTGCATGTCCATGCACATGCATGCACACATGCATACATACACATCCATGGATACACACACACATGCACACACATATGCACATGCTTGTGCACCCATGCCCACGCACACACCCACATGCAAACAAACTGCACCAAGTTCTGTCTCAGGTGAGGAACACTGTACTATTTACTGAATCATATTTCTTAAAAGTGTAATTATTTATTCTGTGACAAAACAGTTATTGTATTCTGTTTTATTTGGAATCGTAAAACTGACAGTTTTTCAGAGAGGACACAAACCAGACACATCAAAGGAAATTTGGAGTTCAGTGATGTTCTTTTTTCTTATCCATCTCGAGCTGGTGTCAAGGTACTGTAAGAAATATTTGTGAGAATTCCTGACTCATGTTGATTGTTTAATCCTCACAAACAATAAAAGTCTGGGCTATGGAAGTACACAGGCCTGTATCCCAGCACACTGTGAGGCCAAGGCAGAAAGTTGGCGAATTCAAGATCAGCTTGGGCAATATATTGACTTAGGGAGACCCTGTTTCTAAAACAAATTTAGAAGGTGATGGGATGTGACTCAGTGCGCAGGTGGCCCTGGGTTCAGTTCTCAGCACTGCAATAAATATTAAAGGAGAAACTTAAATATTATGCTTTTTTCTTCAGTTGTTCAATGCCCTTACATGATACTTTGGGGGGTGGGAGGTTACTGGGGATCAAACCCATGACCTTGCATTTGCCAGGCAGGCACTTATGCCAACTGAGCTAAACCTCCAGCCTCACATTTTGATACATTTTGTTTCAAGTTTCAAGTTGAATTGAATTATTTAGGCTTTGTGGTAAGAAGTGATCTTTATCCTCACAGATCCTGAAGGGGCTCAGCCTGCAGCTTCAGAGTGGCCAGACAGTGGCCCTGGTTGAGAGCAGCAGCTATGGGAAGAGCACAACTGTGCAGCTGGTGCAGAGGGTCTATGAATCCACACAGGGCACAATGAGTGACTTGGAGTAACAAACCTGGTAAAGGAGCTGCCACATAGCAATCCACCTTTTAAGCAGCACCTTGGGCTGAGATATTCAGTGGGCCGACAGAGCCAGACTGACAGGGCAGCAGTCACCCCACTCAGGACCAACTGCCTGGGTCTCAGATGAGCCAGACAGAGTCCATACAGTAAATGTGGCCAGCTCTCATCTGGCACCAGGTGCCCCAGAACAGCAACAATCCAGCACAAATGCCAGAGTCCCCAGCTTTGAAGCAGGTAAGGGGGAAAGTTGGGAGGGCGTTTTAAATGACAAGCACATGGGGGTAGTCACAGCTTGGGGTCCATGTTTTGTCTTTTAAAATAATTCAAACTTACAGAAAATCAAGGGCAGGGAATGCACCTCTGCAGTTCATCTAGGTATTCTCATTGTTTATATTCAACCCACTTGCTTTATTACATTTTTTTCTGAGTGAATATAAATAACACATTCATTGGTTCAGAATATATTTCCTAAGGACATTCTCATATAACACCACAAAATAACTATTAAAATCAGTAAATTGACATTCATGCAATACAAGTCCACAGCCTATATTCAAAACTTCCTCAGTTGTTCAAAATTAAGGGCATTGCGTTCATGTAATATTAAACTGTAACTTAACAATTATGAAACAGAAGATTTTGAAGTTAAAAAAAACTTTAAAGATCATAAATAAGGCATTAAGGTAGAACAGAGAACAAAGAAATGAATACAAATTTTTCTATGATAGGTGACATTCTTTATTTAATTAATTTAATAAAATTAAGTATTCTTGGAAAAATCTGACATGATGCAGGAACACCAACCTTCTTCATTTACTTTAGTTACTATTTACCTCTAGTAAATATTCTTTATTTTGAAAAAAATGCCTAGTAAGAAAGTCCTGTTTTTAAATTGACTGAATAATATATATGTTATTTTTATAAAATATACATCAGCAGAAAAAAATCTTCAGAAATTTTATAACTCAAAAATATTCACTGTTCAGTTTATGGTTAACACTTTCCTTACCTTTGAAAAAACTGAAAAAATACCTAGCCGTATTGTTGCTTACTTCAACCTCTCCCTAAACCCCTTTGCAATATAAATTTTTTAAAAACTGAGATAAACAAAAGTAACACATTGGAGCAAAAACTTATGATATACAAATTACATTTAATATTTGAGATTAATGTTTACTATGACTCTGTGAATACAATCTGCTCATTACAGAACATGACCTTGTGAATATTTTGAGAATAATTGTAAATTTGTAAAATGTTTCAAGAAATGACCAGCTTCACTTGAAAATAGATACAAATGAAAACAGAGTTATGCTACCACCCTGCACATAATTAATTAGAAAAAAAACAAATTGGATAATAAAACCCAGTGTTAGTAAATGACAGTGAAACAGATATATTTATATAGTCTTAATGATATTATGTTATTAAAAATATTTTAAAACATCATTTGTTCAGCCTTAATTCAATAAGCAATAAATGGTTAAACACCTGTCTTTGTAGATAAGCAATTATAATCCAACAAGAAAAATAAATCCTACTCAATGTGGTAATTCTCTGCTTTTACAATGATTTTAGAAGGAAACCAAATTCAAAAAGTGGGAAACACTAAAGGAGCTTAAGGCATGTTAAAAATATCATTAGAAATTAAAAAAAGAAAATACTGTAATGAGATTAAAATGATGTGCAGAGTAGGCAGGCAAGTGGGACTTATTATTTAAATATGGAATCTATAATCAAAAATAATGAAACAGCAGAAGTATAACTGGGAATGTGGCTAAGCAGAGCACTTCTGTAGATGACACAAACCCCAGCAGCACAAAAAACAAATGGACAAATGCGTAACCCAAAAGAGTTAATGGAGAACGATTCTCCAGAATAAAACTATGTGTAAGAAAATAATTATCAGAAGACAGTAACAACTTTTAATTTTTATTCTTGCTCATTACTGTTTATTTTCAATTGTGATTTCTAGTTACTAAAGTAAGTTTAATAGTAGCTAAGATTTTTAATAATAGAGTCCTGCTAATTTAGCTATCAGATGGTTTAAACATTCACCAAAAATATTTCCCTTTCAGATCAGCATTTGGCCAGGATATCAGGGACTTTAATGTGAGATATCTGAGAGAAATAATTGGAGTGGCGAGTCAAGAGCCAATATGTTTTCTACCACGATTGCTGAAAACATCCACTATGGCTGTGGAAATGTCACCATGGATGAGATCAAGAGAGCTGTCAAGGAAGCCAGTGCCTGTCAGTTTACCACGAAATTGCCAGAGGTACAGGCTCTAACAGTTAGTCATCCTTGAAATCAGAATTCTGTCCCAAATAACTGATTTCAAAGGTTAAGCTAGTGCTTGAGATGCAAAGTTGTCCAACATGGCTAGATGAATCTTTGAATTACTCAATAGAGACTTAAGGAACATATTCTGATACATAGGTAATGTGAAATTGTAAGTGAAAGTATCTGTTAGTAGTTTTATAAGTCACTGTCCATCTATTTTATAATGATTTATGATAATTATGATAGTTGAAATTAAGCTCCAAGTTGAGTTCGTGTATTTCCTTTTCAATTTAAAATACTCCAGGGCTCTTCTGCCTTTCACTTTGCTTTCTGTTGCAGAAACTCAACACCCTGGTTGGAGAGCAAGGGGCGCAACTGAGAAGTGAGGAGGAGCAGAAACTGCCATGGCACATGCCCTGATTCGCAACCCCAGGATCCTGCTGGGGTTGAGGCCATGCATGCCCTGGACATGGAGAGTGAGGCCGAGGTTCAGGCTGCACTGGACAAGGTCCATGGACTCTGAGCACTGAAGGAGTAGCAGACCCAAACTTTATTGCAGATTCTTGTTGATGCTCGCAAACCAAAGGGCAGAGAAAGCATGAGACAAACAAAACCCCATGGACAGAAGAAGCTGTTGCGTGGGCTCTCTCGACCCTCTTTTCATGGGGTTGCATAGTCTGTGGAGGTGACTGGCCCTCGTTTACAGAGACCACTGGGCAGAGTCCAGGCCGAGGCCCTTCAGTGAACCACTCAGCTTGGTCTTTCTTTTTATTTTTTTTTTGTTTTATTTTGAAAGTAGTATAAATAGAAGCTTCGCAGCCACTACCACTAGTGCTGGTGGAGAGAGCTGCACTGTGGAGGAGGTTCAGGGCCTACCATACAGGCCACACCGCCAATGACCTCGCAGTCCAGGGAGCTTCACCGCTGCTGCTGCTGCTGCTGCCAGACGAGGGAGCTGTGCTGCAGAGGAGGTTTGGAGCCTGCCTGTACCATGTCAGTGACCTTCTCTCAGTAGAGGGAGCTTCACAACCCAAGGAGGTGGGTTCCTGTACACCATCCAAGCCCCAGGAGGGTTTGAGATCCTTGCTCTGGGTGATCGGGGCCTACTCCGCTTGCAGCCACACTGGACTAGGTTTGGCGGGGTTCAGGTCTGCCTGGACCGCACCTGGTGGCGTCTATCAGTTCGGGGAGCTTCGCTGCCAGAGTGGGGAGCTGCACTGCTGCAGGAGGCTTTGGGCCGGTCTAGGCCACATCTGGTAACCTTCTTTTAATCCGGGGGCTTCACTGCCCACATATACAGAGTGTTCCATCCAACAACATCAGAATATACATTCTTATCAGCAGCACATGGGACAGTCTCTAAAACAGACCACACACATGCTCACAGAACATATATAAATAAGTGTAAAAGAGTTAAAATTATCCCATACATGTTATCAGATCGTGGCACCATGAAACTACAAATTAATGATAAAACAAACTGCAAAAACCCCACAAATACATGGAAATTCAATAATACACTCTTGAGCAGAGGAAATTAAACAATACCTACAAGCAAACGAAAGTACAGCTACAACTTACCAGAATCTGTGGGATGCAATGAAAGCAGTCCTCAGAGGAAAATTTATTACACTGTGTTCCCATATCAGGAAAATAGAAAGAATACAAATAAACAACCTGATGCTACACCTCAGACATCTAGGAAAAGAAGAGCAAGTCAAGCCCATTGCTAAAAGACGAGAGGAAATTATAAAAATCAGAGCAGAAATTAATGCAATAAAGACTAAGAAAACAATCCAAAGAATCCATGAATCAAAGAGTTGGTTCTTTGAAAGAATAAATAAAATTGATAAGCCCCTAGCCAATCTAATTTTAAAAGGGAAATAAAAAGCTCAAATTCATGCAATAAGTAGAGAAAAAGGCAAAACCACTAGAGACTCTGTGGAAATACAGAAGAACATCAAACCTATTTCAAAAACGTGTACTCTCATAGGTTCAATAGCACAGAAGAAATGGACAGATTCCTAGAAACATATGAAGTAATCAAAGCTAGGTCAGGAAGATGTAAAACTGCTGAATAACCCAATTTCTATTAATGAGATTGAAAATATAATTCAGTCCTTACCTACAAAGAAGAGCCCAAGCCCAGACGGATTCACTGTGGAATTCTACAAGAAATACAAAGAAGACTTAATGCCGACACTCCTCAAACACTTCAATGAAATTGAAAGGGAAGCAATCCTTCCTAAGTCATTCCTTGAAGCAAAAATTACTCTAGTACCAAAATCTGAGAAAGACCCTACTAAAAAAGAGAACTACAGATCAATCTCCCTAATGAACACAGATGCAAAAATCCTCAATAAAATATTGGCAAACAGGATGTAGCAAATCATCAAGAGGATTATACACCATGACCAAGTGGGATTCATCCCAGGCATGCAGGGATGGTTCAACATACATAAATCAATAAATGTAATCCACCATATCAATAAAGCCAAAAGTAAGAATTACATGATCATTTCTACCGATGCAGAAAAAGCTTTTGATAAGGTCCAACACTCACTCATGATAAGAACTTTACAGAAAATTGGAATAGATGGTCTTTACCTCAATATGATAAAGGCCATCTATGACAAACCAACACCCAGCATCATATTAAATGGCCAAAAACTGAAGTCCTTTACCTTAAAATCAGGCACAAGTCAAGGATGCTCTTTATCACCGCTATTTCATATACTACTGGAAATACTAGCCAGAGCAATTAGACAAGAAAGAGAAATAAAATGGGTAAAGATAGGAAAAGAGGAAGTTAAATTATCATTATTTGCAGATGACATGATACTCTAAATGGAAGACCCTCAAAACTCCATTGAAAGACTTATATCAGCAATGTAGCTGGATGCAAAATCAATACTCAAAAATCAATAGCATCTCTATACACTAACAACAAAATCATGGAGAGAGAAATGAGAAACCATACCCTTCACAATAGCATCCAAAAAATGAAATATTTAGGAATTAATCTCACAAAAGAAGTAAAAGATCTATGCAGGGAAAATTATAATACCCTGAAAAAGAAATTGAAGACGATCTCAGAAAATGGAAAGACATCCCTTGCTCATGGATAGGAAGAATAAATATTGTGAAAATGGCCATTTTCCCAAAACTGTTATACAGATTCAATGCAATCCCAATAAAAATACCATCAACATACCTCATAGATCTCGAGAAATCACTCCTAAAAATCATCTAGAACCAGAAGAGACCTAGAATAGCAAAGACAGTTGTAAGCAGCAAAGGCAAGGCAGGAGGCATCACAATCCCTGACTTGAAGTTATACTACAAAGATACTGTAATAAAATCAACATATTACTGGAATAAAAACAGATCTGAAGATCAATGGAATAGATTAGAAGATACAACCACAACTGCAAGCACACTCAACCACTTTGTCTTCCATAAAGGGGCCAAACATGTTCACTGGAAAAATGACAGTCTCTTTAATAAATGATGCTGGGAAAACTGGCTATCCATATGTCAAAAACTAAAACTATACCCATGCCTATCACCATGCACTAAACTAAAATCTAAACGGATCAAAGATCTGAATATTAAAACAGAAACACTAAATCTATTGGAAGACAAAGTAAGTAAAAATCTCGAAGACATAGGGGTAGGGAGAGGATTAATAAACAGGAATCAAACCGCATGGAAAATAATTCCCAGAATCAATAAGTGGGATTACATCTTATTAAAAAGTTTCTGCAGGTCAAAAGAAATATCCAGCATAGCGAAAAGAAAAGCCACAAACTGGGAAAAAATCCTTAGTGAACTGTCCCTCAGACAAGACTTCTGTCTAAAACATATAAAGAATTAAAAAAAATCAGACCCCAAAATTCAAGGACCCAATCCAAAAATGGGCATCTGAGATGAATACACAATTCTCAGATGAAGAAATAAAAGTGGCAAATTAAAACATGAGAAAATGTTCATCATCATTAGTCATTAGAGAAATGCAAATTAAAACCACACTTAGATCCCATCTCACTCGTGAAAGAATGATCAGTATCAAGAAAACTACCAACAACAAATGCTGGAAAGGCTGTGGGGAAAAAGGAACTCTCCTACACTGTTGATGGGAGTGTAGACTGGTACAACCTTTGTGGAGGTCAGTTCAGAGCTTTCTTAAAAACCTGGGATTGGAAGTCCCACTCTACCCAGCTATTCCATTTCTAGCCATATTCCCAGAACTGAAAACATCATACTACACTGATATATGTGCACCCATGTTTATAGCAGCACAATTTGTAATAGTCAGATCTTGGAAACAACCTAAGTGTCCATCAACTGAGGAATGGATAAAAAAGGTGTGGTATTTTTATACAATGGAGTACTACTCAGCTATAAAGAATGATCACATTGAGATATTTATAAATAAATGGATGCAGCTTGAGACCATACTCATAAGTGAAATCAAACTCACATGTATAAATACCATATAGTCTCCCTTGTATAAGAAATTATAAGAGTACATAAGAGTTTATGGTAATCATGATTCCCTATTACATTGCTCTCAAGCCTTATAATGTTTTCATTCATTGGTTCAAATGGTTTTAATCTGCTTTGTTTGATTTTATTATCTGTGATGGTATGAACAGCTATTTTGATAAAAATAAGTCATTATAATAGTCAGTGCTGATTTAATATCATCTTACTCTGAAGTCCTGCCATACTTCTGCTCTTCTGTCTCTATGGGGTTTTTCATGTTGTATCTTATTCAATTTTATTATGTGTGATAGTATAAACAAATTTTCTATGGAAATGAGATAATATAGTAGCCATTGTTCATTTTCTGTTACTTGGTTCTGAATTCCCTGTAATACTTTCATTCCCTTTAATGGTTTTATACTATCTTGTTATGTTTGATATTATTATATATGAAGTTATGCTCAACTATTTCAAAAAAAGAGACATTATGGTAGTCACTGTAAATTACGGGTTGTCTTCTGGTGAAATACTGTGTTGCTTACATTGTACTGTTCTGATCTGCTGTTGTGTCCTGTTTTATCTTAATCTCTGTAAAATAAAAAAAGAAAGTAGTAAAAATACAACAGAACAAAGCCAATCAAGACAATACAATGAAACTGGTGCAGAACTTCACAGCAGGATACCGGGATGGTAGTAATAGGTACTATGGTATATCTCGTTATCTTCACAATAGTTGTCCAGTCAATTAGGTATAGTGAAATCAAACCAAAAACAGAACATTATAAAACCAATTGAGAGTACTGAATAGAGCAAAAGAAACATAACAAAACAGTGAAAAGAACCTTTGCCTTCAACAGAAGACAGAAGGAAATTTCCTATATTTGCTTTATTGCATATGGTCATCCTCCCAAGAGATGTTGAGACATCTATCCCCAGTATCTGGAGGCGGGGAGGGTGTTTGATTCTCAGCCTGCATGCAGTAGGCTCATGGGAGCCGCTGGTTCTCCTCCTGGCCTACACCGGGGGTGCTTAACATGAGAGCGAGCAAACCAGCTGCCTAAATCCCACCTTGGACGGATCTCGGGAGCCTTGGTCTTTTCTTGAACACAGGCTGGTTTGATCAAATGTAGTTGTGCTAAAACATACGAAGAAATTAATAGGAAAGTAGTTGAAACTGTCCAAGTATTTTTCAATGATATACATTTTAATGATGACATACTGTTCCTTTCTTTGGTATAATATACATTTAGAAGTTTAAGTTATTTTCCTTATGGTTACATTAATTTCACTAACTCAGTAGGAAATATTTAATTTATATAAAATACATACAAACAGATGAAGAAAAAAAATCCAGTTTCCCTGACATTGGTCCAGCTGAAAATAGTTAAAAATTCCTTGCTTACAGGCTGGAACATAATGTTTATCCATGAAAGTGATTGGATGCTTTTCTGGAAATAAAGTTCACTTTGCATGTTTGAAATGAGCAATACATTTTAAGGAGATCATTTAATGGGCTCAGGTGTCCTTCTTGGATACTTTTAAGTGTCTGACAAGCATCTTTATGAGACTGAAGCTTTGCAGGAAGAGCCTTAGCTGGTGCAGTCTCAGAGTCACAGCTGCTTCACTTTGCTTCTAAGACCTAACAGTGCTTCTCCACTGGATAGAGTGTTTTGCTGGTTTTTGGCTGTTTATTTTAAACATATCTTGTTTTCTGTTGTAAAGTAATATAATCTTAGACTTTAAAGTCTAAGCATTTAAAAAACATTCA